AAATAGGGTCTTTATAAGTTCGATGGAATAATTCCGGAAAACGAACTATAGAGACTATGACTTTTTCTTTTATCCTGTTCATCTTGTTTAGATAATCATTTGGGTCGTATAGGTGCACTTTTGCTTTGCAATCAATGGCTCTTGTTATCCAGACTGAAAGTACTCCTGCTATTTTTCGAATTGGATGATTTAATTACCAGATATGTGGTGGACATCCGACCTAAGGTTACCGTGACATATAGTCAGTTTACGTCTGTGGACAGTTTTCTTCACGGAATTCTCAAAATATTCAGCAGGTGAAGTGGTTTTCTTTGGAAAATGGAACGGCCTTTGCTAGAAATCATCCAACTGGCTTCCCTTGACACTGCACGTTTCAGATCATAAAGTTCGTTTCGAAAGAGAAAACAAGTAAAAAAAACATGTTCGGCCGGGCCAAACTCTTAATACCCTCCAACTTAGGGTAAAGGAAACATTAGAAAAAATGTGGCAAACCCCATTAAAATGCCGAATATCGGGAGGTACCGTTATATGGGGGCTATACCTATACCCCCACATGCAATGTTTAGCCAAAGGACAAATCCGTGAAAAAATGTGGCAAAAATCATCAAATTACCGAATATTGGGAGGTACCGATATATGAGGGCTATACCAAAACGTGGATCTAAAATTACAATGAGTCGCCACACGAACTGGGACACATTATGATCTACAACTACCAATTTTTAGACATATCCGTGAAGAAATGTATCAAAAATTATCAAAATACCGAATATTGGGAGGTACCTTTACATGGGGAATATACAAAAACGTGGATCTATACGTGCAATGTTTCAACACACGAACTAGGACCTATTATGACCAGTAAATACCAATTTTTAGACAAATCGGTGAAAAAATTGTGGCAAAAATAATCAAAATACCGATTATCGGGAGGTACCTTTATGTGGGGGCTATACATGCAATGTTTTGCCACACGCACAGGGACCCGTTATGACCTACAAATACCAATTTTCAGACAAATCCGTGAAATTTGACATAAATCATCAAAATACCGAATATCGGGAGGTACCATTATATGGGGACTATACCAGAACGTGGACCGATACATCTCATTTTCAATACCAACCATCCTAGACACAATACAAATTGCTCTGCTAAATGTTGGCGCTCTACGTCAAATAGTGTGGGCTGTACGTGATTTCAACAGACAGATAGGCGGACAGACGGACATCGTTAAATCGACTTAGAATTTTATGCTGATGATGAATATATATATTTTATGGGGTCTGCGACGAATATTTAAGGATGTTACAAACGGAATGACAAAGTTAATATGCCCTCCTTTCAAAGGCGAAGGGTATAAAAACAGGTAAAAGATAAACATATGAAAGTCGCCTTAGGAAGGCTAAACTCAAAATTGAAAAAAAAAAAAAAAACAAGTCAAAAAGCAGTTACGTTCGGGCAGACCGAACTTTTTATACCCTTCATCAAAAATTCGAAAAATACCGCTTAGGTTAGTTTAGACCGAGCTTTTTATACCCTCCATCATTTAGAAGGAACTTGAGAAATTAAAAAAAAAATCGAAAAATACCGCTTATGTTAGGTTAGATTAGGTTGAAAAGAGGGGCGAAGCAATTCGCCGCTTACCCTGTTGGACATACACTTAAGCTAGTATAGGCCTGTTGTACGCTCTAGACTAAGGGTTTTTGAAGAAGGCGGCAAGTTTACAGTCTGTTATATTTGAAAATCTGTTGCCTTTATAAAATTTCTTAACTGTCATATCATTTACCATGGTCTGATTAAGCTCTGGTATGGAGTCGTTCCCTAAGAATTGGGATCTGATATCCGTTTAAATTAAACCATTTTATAAGAGCTATACGAAGACATGTACCTGCATACGAATTTTTTTATCAAAGGCTGTAATACTCATTACTACAAATTTGAAACAGTTCCCGTCTAAAATGTCGCTAAAATCATTAAAATACAAAATATTTAGAGGTGCCACCATATGGGGACTATACGAAAACGTGGACTTGCATAACCCATTTTCGATCTTAACCTGCCTACTGACAAAAACACATGTGTCCAAATGCTTTGTTGTCCCCGCTATAAAAATGATGTTAGCAAACAGCGTCCGAGGACCTTATCCCATGGCCTTTGGCGCTAATTTAGTTTCTTTTGGTGTCCCTTCCCTTCGTTCTTCCTAAATTCTTTAATTGTAACATAGCTGAATAAGCGGCGTTTTTTTTGAGCTGAAGAGCTGATCCTGAGATCATGACATCCTTTAGCCACTTTTTAAAATTGAATAAAATTGTTGCCGTGATTGCCAAACTGCAACGTAGTTTTCTCGTCGGCTGAGGTAAGCTGGTCTCCATAAAGTCCCACTAAACCATAAAAAATGAAAAGAGTCTGCTGTTATCCGTAGGTTTTATTGTTTGAAAGATTAAATAACAATCTACTCCTGTGATAATAAGAACAAAATATATTAATTAGCGAATTGGTTGCGGAGATGCTCGGGATCTGAATAAATATTTAGTAGTTCAATCGGGAATACTTGTATTCAGATGGTTGGGAATAGGGAAGTACGGTGTTGCATGCCGGTTGCTGCAAGTCTTGTCCATTTTCCAAAAAAAAAAAAAAAAAAACAATTAAAAAACGGCTTGGTTCAACCTGTTCGAACTTTGAATACCCTCCACTATTTGGAACTTACAAAGTGTAAAAAAGTCTTTGAAATATTATGCTATTATTTTTAGAAAATATGGTTATATGGAGCTATACGAAAGGTGGACCAATCTGCCAAAGGTGGTGTCTATTACTCCAAACACCGAGTTTAAGATAATTCTGTTGAAACAACTATAGAAAATCATGAAAATATCGAATATAGGGAGTAACTGTTGTATGGGTGCTATACGAAAACGTTAACCCATATAGCTTATTATCTACCAGAGATAGGGACCTATTACAAAATCTGAATGTCAGTGATAAACGTAAAAAATCAAAATCAGACCTCCGAAAAACTCGCTCGATTTTGCTCAAAGAGTGAAATTTACTCGAGTTCGAGCATGTGCGCTCCTCGGAGCAGACAAAAAATTGAGCAAACCCATTCTTTCAATGTCACACGAATAGGAGTGTGCATGATTTCCCCGTTTTTGAGTGGGAGCATAATTTTTTTTTTTTTCAAAATCGAGCAGATTATACTCTTATTGTTGTCCTTGTATGTTTGTGTTTTCTTGCAACCAGCAGTTGCGCATAACAATTAAAAGTTTTTATGGGAGAATTCAATTATACACGCTATGATTATAACTATAATTTAAAGTTCAAAGAACTAAATATGCCCAAGCATTTGTATCTTTTAAATTCGGACTTGTATTGCCCATTTTATGCACAATTAATTTGAAATCGGATAAAAATATATGGGAGCTATATCCAAATCTGAACCGGTCTCGATAAAATTTGGCAAAGATATTTCTGAGCTGTATTTGATATATTTCCCCAAATATTGTTGTTACAGAGTGCATATTACGGCTGCAGAGGACAAAAATAACAAATCGGATGAACAATACATATGGGAGCTATAGCTATATCTGAACCGATTTCGATCAAATTTGGCATACTTATTTTCAGGTCCAATCTGATCGCACGTGCAAAATTCCATACTATTCGGACTGATATTGCACATTTGGTGCACAATAAAAGGCAAATCGGACGAAGATATATATGGGAGCTATATCTAAATTTTGACCGATTATCTCCAATTTCAATAGGGTTCGTCCTTGGGCAAAACAAATGATTTGTGCAAAATTTCGTCTGGATAGGGCAATAAATGCGAACTGTACTTTGTTTACAAAAATACATGGACAGACGGACGGACATGCATAAATCGACTCAGAATGCAATTCATCAAAAGGAACTATGGGTCTATCTCGTTTACTTTTGCCTGTTACAAACAAATGCACAAAGACATAATACCCTGACCACCTTGTGGTGTACGGTATAAAAATGTTCCACTCATTTTCACTTTTAGAGCACACTCATGATCTATTTTGAGTGATTCAGCTCCTACTCTTATTTTTCAAACAGGATTGACTCAGGAGTGCTCCCACACAAAACAAGAGAGTGAAGAGTATACTTCGTAAAAAACTCTCACTTTGAGCAATCCTGCTCGCGGGCATGTTTCGCTCCTGAGTCAAAATGAGCAAAACTGAGTTCTAATAAAAATACCGACATAGGACGAACTATAAATACCAAATTTGGAACAATTCCGGTAAAAAATGTGTCACAAATCATCAAAATACCGAATGTCTGGAGGTTATATGGAGCCTATACCAAATCTTGGACCAATATTGACAGTACGAGTAATATGCCATTTACAAGAAAATCGGATTTAAACTGTAACCAAAAAACCAAACGTCCATAAATCTATTTTCAATGCCAAAAGACCTTCAGACCTAAAACACATCTCTGTAAAATTTTATTAACCTACTTTATTTTATTCGGATTCTTTGGTGATTTCCACAGACGGACATCGCTAAATCGACATAATTTTTTTTTCCTGATGAAGGGTATATACTTTGTGGGATCTGAAATGTATATTTCGAGGTGTTGCAAACGAAATGATAAACTTAATACCCTCCATGCTATGGGTATGAAAACAATCACTGTATACTACAAGCATCATCAAGTCAATGAGAATTATTTACTCTGTGCGGTAAACGACATTTGTCGGAATAAGAACGGGTACTAACGTGTAGTGGGCTGATTAGTTGATGATACCTTCATTGCTATCGTCGCATTTTCTACTGAACGCTGTTTCATCTACCGGTGGTTCCCTGGACAGTTCATCCGACTGTCTGCGATTTCTTGTTCAGATTCGGTCAAGCAATCAGCTTTGCTACTCATAAAAGCTTATTTCTATCCAATTGTTTTAAATACATTTTTTTTTTTCAAATAATTCACATATTATTGCCCAAACTAATTTTCCCTCCCTCCCTTTCTTTCAGGTTCCTGAAGTCGTTCGTTCAATAACGGACGAGCGAATATTTGCATTACGCCAACAAACACAAGTGCTCTGGGAGCGGTATTTCGGATCGATAGAGAAAATTGTGTTTACAACTTTTGAGGTAAGTTTCGGAAATCCAATACTCATAATTACTAAAATTGTGGCGAACTGATTGGAATTGGTTCAATCCAAAATATTTCAATATTAGCAAGAGTTCTATTTAATTTGCAACATCAGCCGATAACTTGGCTGATGCGGCTTAACTACTACGTTTTCTCCCTTAAGCTGATTTTGATCTCTGTGCGTGTGTCGATGGTTAATAGGCAGATTTTCATCTTCCGTTGATAAGAGGGCTTCTCATCTTCGTCTTTGGTTTCAGCGCTTTGGGGGTTATACCAGGGAGCTTATCCTCTCCATAAGTAGTAAATATAAACATGTTGGTTTCTTCTTTGGGAGATTTTTTTGTTTTTTGTGGCTGTTTGTTTTTGTTCCATAGATTTGGGTTAATGGAAAATTAATACGCCCACACACACACCCGCTCTGAAACATAATAGTGTGTGTGTGTGTGTGCGTTCTGCTATGTGGTTCAAGTCTTGCGACTGAGTAGTTCGTTGAAGGATATCGACTAAAGAAAACTTTATTAAAATTGAATTATCGACGGAAAAACAGGAGAAACTTTTTCGCTGCTGAAACTGCATTTGTGGCAAAGAAGTTTCAACAAATTGTTGCAAAATTTTCTCTCTCTCTCTCCCTCTCTCTCTCTTTGTGTACAAAAAACACACAGCAACATTGAAAAAGCTAAAAATGTGTTATAATTTCACTTTATTATATGCTGGTGAAACTATTTCTATACACCTATGTGTTCGTGTGTGCGAATGTGAGGTTATTTCAAACTTTTTTTGCGGCAACATTTTTTATTTTCTGATATTTTGACATGATTTTTTTCTTTCTCTTTGCTTTTTGCTACGGAAATAATGGGAATTGTATTGCTGGCTTATCATTCAAATAAGTTTACACTTATTCTTTAAACTATAATTGCTGATGTGAACAATAGGTTGGTTTGAAGTGAAATTGAAATGTTTATACCCTCCATAGAATGGTGATATATTAACTTGTCATTCCGTTTGTAAATCCTCGAAATACTCATGATAGACCCTACAATGTATATATATCCAGGCTCAGCGTAAAATTCTAAGTCGATGTAGCGATGTCCGTCTGTCTATTGTAATCACACTATCTTTCGACAATGGGCCATGTCGGTCCACGTCTTCGTATAGCAACCATATAATTTTGATGATCTTGGCGATATTATTCACCGAAATTATTTCAAATTTCGTATTAAAAGTCCGTAATAGGTACTACAAACTATGACAGAAAATTACTCATCCAGGTCCACGTTTTCGAATATAGAATTTCTATTTAAGTGGTATTTTTCGATGGATTTGTTTCCTTTTTTTTCCAAGTTCCTTCCAAATAACGGAATTAAATTTACGGCCGAACTTAGCTGTATTTAATCATTTATATTTGTATATGACATTAAGAGACTCAAGGGACATTGTTACAAAAAGGAAAAAATGTATTCAAGGTTAGATAGTGTTAAGGAAGAAGAGAAAAAGAGTATTTCAAAATTTTATGATATATTGATTTTTTTATAATACCTTTAGGTTAGGTTAGGTTAGGTTAGGTTGTAAAAGAGGGGCAAAACAATTTCGCCTCAAGCCCTTTTGGGCATGCACTTAAGCCAGTATAGGCCTGTTGTGCGCTCTAGTCAGAGGGGTTTTACCGAGGAAGACGTGCAGTTAAACAGTCTGTTATAATTGAAATTCTGTTGCCTTTATGAAATTCTTTAACTGTTTTATATCATTTACCATGATCCGACTAAGGTCTGGTATAGTGTCGCTCCCTAAGAATTGGGCTCTGATATTGGCAAACGCTGGGCATATACAGAGAAAATGTTCCAAAGTTTCGTCGTCTTCCCTGCACGCCCTGCATATGCTGTTATCTGTGCAACCTATCTTGTATAGATGAGTTTATAGGCCCAGGTGCCCCGTAAGGATGCCTGTCACCTCACTGATCTCCTTCTTGCCTAGCAATAAAAGATTCTTTGTTTTTATCTCATTTGGGTCACCTTACAGGATTTTGGTGGTTTTCCCTACCATCTGTGTAACAACAGTTACCAGTCGGCATCTGTGATGGGAATCCATCGATCCACGAGTCTCTGTTTGGCATTAATGTTTCACAAGAGGTAGCTACAATCGATTCAGATATCCGGTCCGATACAAAGTTTTCTATTGATTCTCCCGTTGTTACCTGTAAGATTCTTTGATGGTATGTAGCGTGGCCTTTGATTAACCACTCGTCCGTTGCCCTAAGCCTTAAGGCCGCGACGGTTGCTTCATACCGAATCTGAATGTCTATTGGGTGAAGAAATAGTAATGTCTCTAGTGCCCTAGTTGGCGTTGTCCTCATTGCCCCGCGGATGCTTAAGCAGCACATTCGTTGGACTTTCTGTAGTATTTTAATATTACACTTTTTATCCATGGCTGTCCACCAGACTATTGACGCGTAAGTTAGAACAGGTCTAATCACGCTTTTGTATAGCCAATGTATCATGTTAGGATTGAAACCCCATTTAGAGCCTATAGCTCTTTTACACGTTGCCCAACATCTATGAGCTTTGTTTGCTCTTTCCTGGATGTGGTCCCTCCAATTAAGTTTCCTATCTAGAATCACTCCCAGATATTTAACCTTATTGAAAATGTTGATTGTCCTGTTCAGGAAAACCGGTTCCTCGAAAAGACCCAGTTTCCTTTTCCTGGTAAATAGACATATTTCAGTTTTTTCCGGGTTGACGTTGAGACCTCTCGGTCTAGCCCAGTTGTATGCAAGTTTCAGAGCCGACTCGGCCCTTCCGCACAGTAACTTAGGGTTCTTTCTCCTCAGAAGTATAATAACATCGTCTGCATAGCAGACTGGTTCAAAACCTTCGTTGTATAAGGTCCTTAGGAGACTATTTATCGTAGTAACCCATAGGAGGGGTGATAATATCCATCCCTGTGGTGTTCCTTGACCAACTTTGTCCCTTATGATGACGTCATATAGCCCACAACTTATCCATCTATTCATTAGCATATGGTTTATCCAGTCCCTTAGGGTCCTGTTGACCTCAAAGCTATCTAAGGATTGGATTAGTGTATCCGTGCTGACGTTGTTGAAAGCGCCTTCGATGTCAATGCATACTGCTAATGTGTACTTCTTTTTATCGAAGGTGCTCTCGATTTATAATACCTTTAGTTTTCGTCTAGTTTCCCCTATCTTTTTCTCTTTTAACACATTATAAATTAACAACAAAAAAAATGTCGGGCTTAGGGATTTTCGAACTTCCTGAAAAGGTATCGCTCAAATATAAGGCCCATATATTTAGAATGTTCTCCCCGTTTGAGTCCCGCCCCAACACTCTATTTTTGTACAGTGGACCGTTTTATATTTGATTCCCCAAAAGTTGAGTGAAAGCTCTTTAAAACCCTTCAAGACCCTTCATTTTTGATTTCATTATTTTTATACCCTCCATCTTGGAAAGGAGGGTATATTAACTTTGTCATTCCTTTTGTAACATCCCAAAATATTCGGAGCGTTGTATATATAGATCCACGTTTTAGTATAGCCCCCATATAACGGTACCTCTCAACATTCGGTATTTTGATGACTTTTGCCACATTTTTTCCACATCTGTATTTATCCAAAAATTGGTATTTATAGGTCATAATGGGTTCTAGCTTCGGTGCCGAAACATTGTATGTATAGGTCCATGTTTTGGTATAGCCCCCATATAACGGAACTTGGCGATATATTGATGATTTTTGTCACATATTTCAAAGGGTTTGTCCAGAAATCGGTATTTTTAGTTCGTAATGGGTTCTAGCTCGTGTGGCAAAACACTGTATGGATAGCTCAAAGTTTTGGTATAGCTCCCATATAACGGTATCTCCCGATATTCGATACTTTGATGATTTTTGCCACATTTTCCACGGATTTTTCTAAAAATTGTTATTTGTTGTTTATAATGGGTTCTAGACCGATGGCAGGACATTGAATATTAAGTTCTAAGTTTCCTATAGTGCACATATGACGATATCCAATGATATTCGGTATTTTAGAAGATTTTATACATGACAATTCTAGAAATATAAAATTGTCAATAGAGGTTCCCGTTTTGGTATAGTCCCATATAACGGCCTGATTCATTTTTTTGGTTTTTTGATAAGTTTAACTACATGTTTGAATTCAGATACTTTTGTATAAAAATTTTTCTTTAGCCTATGGTGGAGGGTATTAAAAGTTCGGCCCAGCCGAACTTAATGTTTTTTTGTTTACTTGTTTAATTTTTGGTTCGTATATTCTGGTTTTAGAAATGGCGAGTTATGTTGCCCTAACTTTTAATGAATACTTTTATACCTTCCGCCATAAAATGGAGGTTATATTAAGTTTGTAATTCATTGAATATATATATAGGTCCATATTGTGGTATATCTGCTATATAACGGTATCATTCTATTTTCGGTATTCTAACATCTTTTCCCATTTTTTTCAAAGGAATTGTCTAAAATTTTGTATTTACAGTTTCTAATGGGTGTCTAACCGCCTTACAAAACAATTTTTGATATAGGTCCTTATTTTGACATTGCATATATCATGATGGAGGGTATTAAAAGTTCGGCCCGGCCGAACTTGATACTTTATCACTTGTTTAATAATTATGAGAAATAAAAATCGATGAATATTATTATTTTGGTTATTAATTTTAAGTTAAGTTTTCCTCTCGTTTACTATCTCTCTCTTTCTTCCTCTCTTTATCTACCCTTCCCGAACTTTATACAAAATCTCTTGGTTTGTGCCTTTGCTAATTTAAAATTACTTTAGCAGACATTAATTGAGAGGGATGTATATCTGTAGGAACTTCGACTAAAATGTAAATGTATACATTTTCATCGTCTTCCGTCCATCAGTCCATTAGAGTCACAGTTTGTTTTGGTTTATGGGCTGATGGCATCATTAGACCGTACTTCTTCAAAAATGCTGCGAATCGTAACTGAGACTGGTGAGCGCTACCATGAGATGATA